CTTTCAAAAAAAAAAAAAAAAAAAAAAAGATATTCTCCAAAAACTGATTGTCTCGCTGGTTCACTCCACCGAGTCATTGATCCATTTTTTCATGACAGTTTTTGATGAATGTCTCCGAATCTATGGGAGATGGCGGAATTTTCGTGAGGACCTTTTCTGTAGGGCTGAGGGAAATCTACAAAAAATGTCATTATCAAAATCTTGATATCTCCCTTAGATCAAGAGATATTCATAAAAAAATCATCCTGAATTGATTCTTCATTTTTTAATTCAGGAATATGGAAGCAATGTTGGAGCAATGCGGTGTGCAAACATGGACTGCTATGGTCTCATGCTCCCTGATGATCCTCTGAGCTGGACGACACCCTGGACCTGTGAAAAATGCGACCAAAAGGTTTCATCCCGCCAGGTGAAGCATAAAAAAATCTTTCAGTCTCCTCTCTTCGATCTTACGATTGCGGATTATTTTCCGCGTATTATTCTTCAACTTTTGCTTTGATTTCTGTTCTGAAGATTAAGGCAATCATCTCGGGAATTGACTCCATCATAAATACGTATTTGTACGAATCCCCTCGAGACATTCTCAAATTCGTTAGGGGAGAATTGAAAGTTCTCGTTCCAGAGATGAATAGCTCGATGTTACAAATGAAGTATCGAATTGTCTCGTATTTCGGGAGGACTGAAGGACTTCATTTCAAAGGTATCATAGCCCCGAAAAAGATATTAAATGAATAAAATTCTGCAGACAAAAATTTATTTTTCAATCCAGATTTAACAGATGAAGAACTACAAATAAAATCTAAATACTGCCAGGATCTACTCGATATGATAGAGAAATTGCAGCTGGGTGATTGTCAACTGAAAGGTAAGGATCACCTCCGAATTAATAATTAATTATAATAATACTAATAATTAATTAATCAAATAATTTCAAAACGTAGTTTTCTCTCTTCATTTTCAGGATTCATTTTGTACGAATTATACTGCACAAAAAATGAAGAATTTTCCCGAAGAAACTATGAAATATCTTCCCTAAAGTCAACGGTAATAAATGCACTCCACAAATAAATGAGTAATTAATTTATTAACAAAAGATATTTTCTTCATTTCCTACTTACATTATATTCAATATCTCTCATTAAATTCCATCATCACCCCCTTATCAATAAAAATGATCAATCATCGATTGACGAATTCGATGGTGAATCAATGAATAGACAATCTCATATTTCTAATTCGCATTTTTTGTCATTTTTTTCCCAGGAATTCACCAGGGAAGCCCTGAAAATCCTCGACAAAGCTGTAGAGATTCTGCAGGATGACGTAGCATCGCCGGATGATCTAAAGTCCCTCAAGCCTCCACATACCTCAACACGCACTCACCCCTGATTATATTGATCAAACATGAATACCCATCACGGCACCCACCAGTGCCCCGTACAGTCCTCCTCTCCACAATAAAACGCCCATGGAATTCATCAATAAACACTGTTGAATGTCCCTGGCACATCATCTCGAATTCCCAACCAGAAATCCGTAATTTAACTGAAGTGAAAAATAATTAATTTTTTTAGATTTTTCAATTTTTTTTCAAACAAAAATTCTTTGATTTTTTTTCCAACAAAAATATTCCAATGTTTTTTTCGAAATAAATAATTTTTGATTTTTTTTTGAAAAAAAAATTTTGAATTTTTTTTGGAAATTGAGTTTTGAAATTTTTTAATTTTTTTTAGATTTTTTGTTAAATTTCAGCAGATAAGTAGAAGAATTTCCGGTCCCAAACACCTTAAGCCATCCACTCCACTATGAGAAAATTTCCCAACAAATCAAATTGATTTCTCAGATTGAATTTGTAATTTTCATTAATTAGTGAATAAAAAGATGATTTTGAATTTTTAAAACATCGTTGCATGTTTAACCAATTTCGTTCGATAGCCAGGGAAATTTCCAGTTCAAAATGCTGTAAGACGATGTATTTATCTCGATTGGATCGAAAGATATCCCAAGTCCCTCCTGTCCTTGTTTGAACCTTCCCAGAACCTCCCCGTATCCTCCCATCTCCTAATAAAACTGTTTCAAAATCCTCTTACTCTTTCGAGGGTACCACAAAGGTCTTCAGTAATAGCTTTTCAAGCCTTCTAGCCTTGTCTGACCCTTTCATTCCTTATTCGATCCTTCCGAAATCCTCCCCGAACCCTCCCAACCCCTAACAATTTTCTTACCACTTCAAAGTCCTCAAAATGCTTTCAAGAACGGCCTCTCAACACCTTCTAGCCCTCCCTGACCCACCCATCCCCTATTTGAACCTTCCCAAGACCTTCCTGAATCCCCTAATAATTCATTAATTATGAATCTCCTAATAATTCTGTTTCAAAACCCTCTCAACCCATCGAAGATACCACAAAGGCCTTCAGTAATAGCTTTCCAAACCTAGTTCTCCCTGACCCTTCCATTAATTATTTGATCCTTCCGAAAACCTCCCTGAACCCTCCCAACCCCTAACAATTCTTTTACCACTTCAAAAAGTCCCAAAAAGGTCTTCGGGGACGGCTTTTCAAAATCGTCTGGTCCTTCCCAACCTTCCCATCCACCATTAGACTCTTCCTGACGACTTCCATCCTTCCCTCTCATGAACTACTTCTGGAGATCTCCTAGCCCTCCTTGACCCTCCCGCCCCTATCTGATCCTTTCCAAAAGCTCCCCATCTCTCCTTCAGCAATTCTCTTCTACCATCCTTTTGGCCTCCTCAAAAAGCTCTACAAACGGCTTCAAGACCTCCTCATCCTCCTCGTCACTCCCGCCCGCCCCCCTCACCTCGCTCTCCCCCATAACCCTCTGACGCCACATTCCTGCATGAATCATAGCCACCCCACTCAGCAGAAACTCCCCGTCATCCCCATATTTTCTACAGATCTTGTCCACCAGATCGTCCCCAGCGTATCTCCTGGAGATCCCGATCCTCTGGAAGATGGCCCTGCACTGCCACCTCCCCTGCGCACTCTCCTCACTCTCCTGATTGCCCCTCCTCGGTTGTGACTCCTTAACAAGACTCTCCCAGTCCACCCCGAGGGCATCACCGAGGCCCTTCCCACTGGTCTTGATGTCCTCCTCAAGCTCCCCATCAGAGATCTCCTCGAAGTCCATAGTCTCCATGTTGTCCTCCTCCATGTGCTCCTCCCTCTCCTCCTTCTCCTCTTTTTTATCTTTCGGGGTGACTGCAGGGTCCTCAGGCCCCGGAGGGACATGCTCCGGTGACTCATGAAGGTCCTGAGGTGTCGTCGCCAGGCTGTCCTCCTCAACGACCTTCTTATCGTTCTCGTCCTCCATATTCAATATGTCGTCGGGATCATCACTGATATCACTGAGATCACTCTCCGTATGATGAGCCACTGATTCGTCCAGGCATATTCGTTTAGTCTCCGGAAGATCCTTCACTTCCGGGAGGGCGAGCACTCCCAGACCTCCTTTCTCCTTCATTACGCTCTTCTTCCCGAATGAATCAGCTGACTTCTCCCTGCTTCTCCGAGGTCTCCCCTCCGCCAACTCCATCAGCTTCTTATTAATCGGCTCCTCCTTCATACTCCCATGGAGGGAACTCTGCTTGGACCCATGTGATCCTCCGTCGACCTCCGGGGTACCAGTCCCATAAGGCCTCCTCTTATTATGCAGATCGATCTCCATCTCCTTCAGCCTCTCATTCCTATAATTCGCCCGAAGATGCACCTGAGGATTCTCCCACTTTCTATTCGCCGACTCATTGACCTTCCAATCGGCCATTGGACTGTCATACCTCTGATTCCAATCCTCATCGTGAGCCTCCGACCTCGGAACGCTCTCCCGTTCCCACTCCCGATCCACCCTAGGGCCTGGTCTGGGCCTTGTAGAGCTCCACTCCCGGTCCTCCCACTCGGGAACCAAGGGCTGAGGGAGGGGATACCTCTCCCTTCCATGCTCCTCCCATTTGTCCCCGACCTCCTCCCTCCTGTCGAGACTCCTGACCTTCTCCCTAGGCTCCTGCGGGAAGTGATGATGGTGGTCCTCAAAGTTCCTCTCCGGATACCTCCTGACCTCCCCTCTCTCCTCCCTCTCCCGATTTCGTCTCTCCACGAATGGTGAATTGAACCTCCGCCCTTCAGGATTCTTTCGTCTCTGCTCGTCCTCGTGGAAGTGGCCCTCCTCGTGGCCCTCCCACTCCATCCTCTGATAACCTCTGTCGAAACTTCGGTCGACCTCCATCCCTCTCGGACTCTCCCGCCTCTCAACCTTAGGAGGGAACTCCTTCTCCTTCCTATCGTCAAACCTCCCGAACCTCCTGTGGCGGTTTCTGTCGTAAACCTCCCGCTCCAGGGTTGGCTTCTCCGGGGACCTCTCTCTGAACCTGTGATCCTTCTCGTACTTTTCGAATTTGGGAGGGTTACGATCCCGCTCTCGATCCCCTCGTCGATCCCTGTTCGGTAATTTATCATCCTTCGGGAGGAGGTCTTTCGGCTTCTCCTTCTCCCGCAGATACCTCTTATCCATCAACGGCGTGGGCCCCATTTTCACATCCTTGAGGTCACGTGGGCGATCCTCCCTCTCCCTGGGGCGATCCTCCCGGTCCTTATCGCGTCTCTGATGAAGTTTGTCCTCCCGTAGGTCATGGGTGGGCTTGCGGTCCTCCCGATGGTCCTTAATCCGTCTTTTGTCCTCAAGGTCACGCGGCAAGGGCTTGCGGAGGTCCTCCATGAGGGCCCGCGGTTTCATTGACTCGACCTTTTTGAGGGTATCGTGATCCTTTCGGTCTAGCTTGTGAACCTCTCGGTCCAATTTGTGAGCCTCCCGATCCAATTTGTGAACCTCCCGGTCCAGCTTGTGAACCTCCCGATCCTTGGGCTTCGAAGGCGTTGAAGAGGGCCGCGAGGGCGTCAAGGACGGTTTCGAAGGCCTAGGCGACTCCCGTTTCTGACGCTTTTCCGGGGTTCTACTCCTTCGTTTCAAGATGAGAGGGGACTTCTGAGGTTTGGGAGGGGTCCGCGACCTCCTCTCCTTCGATTTGGATTTTTGCTTCGAGAGAAGTTTGTCTTCAGGAAGACGAAGCTTCGGTTTTTCGATGTCTTTTAGTTTTTCTGGCTTTGATTTGAGGTCTTTGAGAGGATCTTTAGGGTCCTCCGAGGTTCGGCTCACGCGTTTCGGGAGGTCTTTGGAAGGGTCGCGTTTGGCTTTCATTGGGGATTCACTTCGGAGGTCTTTCGGCTTTCCGGGGGTCGCAGGAGATTTCGGACGAACTGCCGAGTGCTTGCGCTGCGGGAGGGCCTTCTTCGAGGGCTTCGGGAGGTCCTTGTCCTTCTTTGAGGGCGTGGCCTCAAGCTTCCGCTTTTTCTTCGGGACCTTATCGGTTTTTGCTAGTCTTTTGAGCTTTAGCTTCTTCTTTCGGTCTTTATCGTCATCGTAATCCGAGGGAGGGCTGTGCGCGCGCTTCTGTTTTATTTTTTTTAGTTTTTTTCGAGAGGAGGAGGACGAGGAGGACGACGAGTCCTCGCTCGAGGACGAACTGGAGGACGAGGACGAGGAGGAGGAGTGCGAGGAGGAGGAGGATGTCATGATTTTCTTTTTATGCTTGGGCCGGTCTTTCGTGTGGACCTCTTTGTCCTTTTTCATCTGGATCTCCAGCTCACGCTGCAGCAGCTGGCGGCGACGCTCTAGGACCTTCTCGTCCTCGTACTCGAGATCTGTTTGGTTCCACTCCTCGAGATTAAGGTCAGGGGAGTGGGGGGTTTTCTTGACGATTTTCGAGGTTACGCGCTTGAAGGGATCCTCTTTCGTCTGGAATTCGAGCGTGTTTTGGTAATTGGGGGTTATCTCGACGGGGAGGGGGGTTAAGGGAAAAGGTCTAAGGACCTTTTTAGCAGGTTAGGAAATTCTCTATAAAATTGTCTTGAGATGTTTTCTTGTGGAATCAGTGATTATTGAGGTAATTAAGGATTTAGTCGACGATGATGATGAGGTGAGGATGATTTCGAGAATTTTGTGGGAAAGATTTGTGCAAAAAGCTTGAAAACTACTGGATTTAGAGGAGAAGGTCAAAAAACCTTTTTTGCAGGTTAGGAAATTCTCTATGAAATTGCCTTGAGATGTTTTCTTGTCGAATTAATGGTTATTGAGGTAATTAAGGATTTAGTCGACGATGATGATGAGGTGAAGATGATTTCGAGAATTTTGTGGGGAAGATTTTTGCAAAAAGCTTGGAAACTACTGGATTTAGAGGAGAAGGTCAAAGAACCTTTTTTGCAGGTTAGGAAATTCGCAACAAAATTTTCTTCTGATGTTTTCTTGTGGAATCGTTGGTTATTGAAGTAATTTCGCTTCTAATCTAGGATGATGGTGAGGGGGAGATGATTTCGCGAATTTCGTATGGACGTTTTTTTGTAAAAAACTTAGAACCTAGTAGATTTAGGAGAAAAGTTCAAAGAACTTTTTTTACAGGTTAGGAAATTCTCTACAAAATTGTTTTTTGACGTTTTTTTTATGAAATTAATGGTTAACAAAGTACTTTTGAATTCAGTCTACGACAATGATGAAGTAAAGATAATTTCTTGAGTTTTTTATGGAAGTTTTTTGCAAAAAGGTTGGAAATTACTGGTTTTAGGGGAAAAGTTCAAAAAACCTTTTAGGTAGGTCATAAAATTTTGCGTAAAATTGTCTTGTCATGTTTTCTCATAGAGTGGATGGTTTTCAATATAATTTTGAATTTAATCATTAGGTGGAGATGACTTCAAGAATTTACCATAATTTTTTTCAGTAAATATTCCGATATTTGCAGAAGAGTAGAGAAATGCTTCAAGGAATTAGTGAATGAATTTGTCGATAGGATTTTTATGATCATTTTCATCTACTTTATGTAATTCTATTAATTTTATTTCACTTACCACTGGAGTACTGGCATTTGCTGTATCCTTCTTCACTCTCTTCGAGGGGCTTATGAGGGTATGGGTGATTGCATATCTGGAAAGAAAAAAGTTCAACATTGAATGATGAATATTCAGCTCGTGTTTATCAGCTAAAAATTAGAATGAGACATAGTAAAATGGGAAAATAAAAATAGATAAAAATTGTTATCATGAACACAAGGCGTTAATAAAAAACGAAATGGAGAATCAAAGTACTCTAGCTCATTTACTCATTCAAATTATCATTCTCCTAAAATAGAATATAAAATCATTTCTCATAATCTTAAAATTATTATCATAATTTTTCTTTGGTTTTGTAAATTTGCAGAAAAAAATGAATAAAGCGTTTTCTTATTTGTATTTTTTCTTGTTTTTGAGGCCTTTCAAGATATTTATTAAGCTAACACGACCTTAAAAAAATGAGAAAACAAATACAAACAAGAAAAATTCTTTCTAAAAACGCATGGCCAATATCTCGAATGGAAAATGAGAACTCGACACGGCGGATATCTCGAACGAATGGAGAGTGTAAGGCGGTTTTCATGAGTACAATCGTCTTACGTCGAATTTTCATGAAGCCCGCCTTCAAACAAAAGAGAATTGAATACCATTCTATGAAACATGAATAACCGAATCATAATTGTCCAAATGATCTAGGCCAGAGGAAAATAGAATAATTCTACTTTTTTAATATTGCGTTTATTGAGGTTTTCCTCGAACAAAGTTGATTAGAATTAATATTTAGAATTATGAGATTATCTCACATTTTTGACGTTAAGGATAGGAAAATCTGAATGCAATATAGTGAAAATGATGATCGATTTTTTCACTTTGAACAAATAATACTAATATCCAAATACAAAATTTCTGATATGAATAAAAAGAAGCTGTCACTCAATATTCCAAATGAAGTTTTAATTTTTAATTTGGTGGTGATAACACGAGATGACAATATTCTAAGCCCGGAATTATATTGATGAAATGAACAACAGATTAATTGAATTACCGTGTCAACTAATTAAAAATTGGTAACAGTGTGAAATTCCAGAAATTCACCCTCTAAAGTGTGTTCCACAAGGAATTTAATTGTAATTATGATTAAAATCTTATTCAGTGAGCCTAGGAATTAGAACATGAACAAATCATTTATTGTAATATGAAAATTCACCAGCTGATAAATTGGGACATATGGTTGTCATCGGAGAATGATTATAAAAAATAAATAAAAGATGAATGAACAATACTCACTTGCAAGTTTTACCATACGAACAACTGCCATTCAAAGCCCAATTTCTGCAATAATCAGACGTTATTTGCTGCGTTACTGCGGCCACTGGTTTGGTACCCAAACGTTCAAAAACACTTGGCCTCCTTGAGTCTGTATTACATTTCGTAGGGTCAACTGTTATTTTTCTTATGTTTGATTTTGACATATTATCACCATAAAAAAATCCTATTATTGTAAGGGAAGCACATAACTGCAGTATGCAAGTCCTTCGTCTCTATTTTCGTCCGGGTAATGGGCTTTGATCACTTGTTTGTCACTTATCGAGTGGTCTGGGCCGATTTCTCACGTTTTTGTTGCTTCAATTGTTGTCTTTGGAGCGATGGAATAATGAAATTTGTGCGGGCGATGAGGGAAGTGCGAGTCTAACCTCGAAAGGTTTGTTGGGGTTTGGCGCGCAGTGCTGCCAACTGGGCGGGGGTAATGGGTGGAGAGCGCTGATTGGATGCTCCGAAATGACGGACCAATCGGGCAGGGGTACGGCGAACTGGAGTGGCGGGTCTCTTTTAAATTGATGTTTTTTTTTTAAGGTAATTCTTGGAGGTTTTAAAAGAGGTCTTTCAATTTTTTAAAAATTAATTTGTTAGTTCCGGAGATTATAAGACAATTATGGAATAGTGGGGCAAAACGGAACGCCAGGAAAAATTAGTATTTGACAACATTTACGATTTTTTTGTTTAAAACGGTTTTCTTGGCTTGTTTTTTTTTAACTAATAATCCGTGTGTGTTTCTTTGAAACGACTTACGACCTTTTGGTCCTCAACTCTAAGCGTCTTTAAGGATCATTTGACCCTTACGACCGTTGAATACTCAACTCCAAAAGTCCCTTGACCCTCACGACCATTGGCCCTCAGTCATAAATCTCATTAAGGGTCGTTTTCCCTTACGACCCTTTGACCTTCAACTCCAAACATCCACAAGGGTCATGTGATCCTCATGACCCTCAGGTCCAATCCTCATTAAGGATCATTTCCCCCCTCTGCGGTTTGAACAAAAAAAACGTCTTTTGAAAGAAAGGCTTTCGACCCTTTGGGATTATTTGACTCCCAGAAAGAGTCATTTGATGCTCTGCACTTCAACATCTTCGAGATTCCGTCGACCCTTACGGCCCTTTTACCCTCAACATCAATTGTCCTCAAGGGTCATTTGATCCTCAGCCCCAAACCTCACTAAGGGCCGCTCTCAAGGGTCAGTTGACCCTCACGACTATTCGATCCTCAGGCCTAACGCTCATTAAGGGTCGTTGGACCCTTACAACCATTTCACCCTAAACTCTAAACGTCCCCAAGGGTCACGTTTTGAAAGGATCTCTTTCTCAGAAAGAGTCATTTGATGCTCAGCAATTCAACATCTTCGAAATTCCATCGACCCTTACGGCCCTTTTACCCTCAACATTAAATGTCCTCAAGGTTCATGTGACCCTCAGCCCCAAACCTCACTAAGGGCCGTTCTCAAGCGTCAGTTGACCCTCACGACTATTCGATCCTCCAGTCCAATGCTCATTAAGGGTCGTTGGACCCTTACAACCATTTCACCCTAAACTCTAAACGTCCCCAAGGGTCACCTTTTGAACGACTCTCTTTCTCAAAAAGAGTCATTTGATGCTCAGCAATTCAACATCGAGATTCCGTCGACCCGTACGGCCCTTTTACCCTCAACATCAATTGTCCTCAAGGGTCATTTGATCCTCAGCCCCAAACCTCACTAAGGGCCGCTCTCAAGGGTCAATTGACCCTCATGACTATTCGATCCTCCGGCCCAATGCTCATTAAGGGTCGTTGGACCCTTACAACCATTTCACCCTAAACTCTAAACGTCCCCAAGGGTCACGTTTTGAAAGGGTCTCTTTCTCAGAAAGAGTCATTTGATGCTCAGCAATTCAACATCTTCGAAATTCCATCGACCCTTATGGCCCTTTTACCCTCAACATCAAATGTCCTCAAGGTTCATTTGACCCTCAGCCCCAAACCTCACTAAGGGCCGTTCTCAAGGGTCAGTTGACCCTCACGACTATTCAATCCACATTCCCAATGCTCATTAAGGGTCGTTGGACCCTTACAACCATTTCACCCTAAACTCTAAACGTCCCCAAGGGTCACGTTTTGAAAGGGTCTCTTTCTCAAAAAGAGTCATTTGATGCTCAGAAATTCAACATCTTCGAGATTCCGCCGACCCTTACGGCCCTTTTACCCTCAACATCAATTGCCCTCAAGGTTCATTTAACCCTCAGCCCCAAACCTCAGGGTCATTTCCCCTCACGACCGTTTCAACAAACAAAATACGATCACAAAAATTCTTGTCAAAACCCCAATTCAAATTTTCCCTCCACTAAGTTGGTACTCCCCCCCCCAGGCAGCCAATCCGCCGCCGTCGCCCCCACCACTCCCCTCCCCGAGCCCCGCCGATCTCTTCCCAAGCCGTCCCACACACTCAGTGGAGTGACGAATCCCCTCGCATTAACAATCGAACTAAAAATTCTCCGATCTCGTCTTGTGATAAAACCACTGACGTCCATGCACCGTCGTCGGTAGCCCATAAAAACCTCCCTGTGCATAAGGAGCTTTACGAGCCTTAACCTCCACCCAAAAAGCCCCCCGAAAAATCTGTCAGACCTTGTGAACATCGGGATAATAGTGTTATTCAGTTATTAATCAATCGTTTCGTGGAGTCGTTTCGTCACTCCGCGAATAAAACAACAACAACGACAGATGATAAATAGACGTTGATTGGACGAGGGCACGACTGTTTTGGAGCATCAATTTCTGGACGTGGGGGACTAACGTCGGATCAAGGGGAATTATTTATTCGGAGATTTGGGGATTGAATGGTGAGTTTATTGAGTCAATATTGCGTAACTGGGGGTTGGGGTTTGGGGTTTCGCGGAGGTTAGAGTTATTGGGGGTTTTAAGTTTTTTCACGTGTTTTGGCATTTTGCGTGGTTATTGCTCGTGTTTTTGGTGATTTGGGATTTTTGCGATTTTTTTGGGGGACAATGGGGGTCTCGAGGGGGATTTATTGGGATTTTTGAGGAATGGGGGTGAGTTGAGGGTTTTATACCTGTTCTCATAATTTTTTTTTTCATGATTTAGGATTTTTTTGGGAATTTTTCGGGGGGGGATTGAGGTTTTTGGGGGATTGATGGATTTATTTGTTTATTTATGTATTTATTTATTTATTTTCTGTGGTTTCCGAGGGGTTGAGGGATGAGTTCAACTAAGGTTGAGAATTTTTCATCTGCTCTGATGATTTTTTTTTGGTATTGGCAATGTTTTTCATGATTTAGGATTTTTGTGTGAATGTAGTTGGACAAAATGGGGTTTTCTGAGGGGATTTATTGTTTATTTTGAGGGGTTTGAAGCATAAGTTCATGATTTTACAACCGTTCTCATGATTTTTTTGGTCATTGTTTATGTTTTTGATGATTTGGAACTTTGTTTTGCTGATTTTGTTGAGAGTTCAGGGGTGTTGTTGTTCATTTTTGAGTTTTTGAGGGGTTGAGGATTCAATTTAATGAACATTGAGAATTTTCCACAAGTTTTCACGATTTTTTTTACTTATTGTCAATATTTTTGATGATTTAGGACTTTATTGCGAATTTATTTGGATAACATGGAGTTTTCTGAGAGAAGGTATTGATTATTTTGGGGGTTTTGAAGGATAGGTTCAGGATTTTACACCTGTTTTCATGATTTTTTTTGTCATTGTTTATGGTTTTGATGATTTGAAACTTTGTTTTGCTGATTTTTCATCGAATTTATTGTTATACTGCGAATTAGAGTTGAGGGGAGTTGTTGTTCATTTTTGAGTTTTTGAGGAATTTAGGATTCAATTTAATTAACATTGAGAATTTTCCACAAGTTTTCATGATTTTGTTTACGTATTGTCAATGTTTTTAATGATTTAGGATTTTATTGCGAATTTATTTGGACAAAATGGGGTTTTCTGAGAGAAGTTATTGATTATTTTGGGGTTTTTAAGGATTTTGAAGGATAGGTTCAAGATTTTACACCTATTTTCATGATTTTTTTTGCCATTGTTTATGTTTTTCATTATTTGGATCTTTGTTTTGCCGATTTTTCAACGAATTCATTATTATACTTCGAATTAGAGTTGAGAGAGTTGTTGTTCATTTTTGAATCTTTGAAGAGTTGAGGATTCAATTTAATGAACATGGAGAATTTTCCACACGTTTTCAAGATTTTGTTTTACTTATTGTCAATGTTTTTAATGATTTAGGATTTCTTTTGCCAATTCGTTTCGAGAAAATGACGTTTTTCGGGGGATTTGTGTTTTTTTTAGTTTTTTGAGGAGTTGAGGGATGAATTTAACTCGGGCGGAAGATTTTCCACAAGTTTTCATTATTTTTTTAATTATTGTCAATGTTTTTGATGATTTGGAACTTTGCTTCGCTGATTTTTCATCGGATTTAATATTATATTTCGAATTGTAGAGTTTTGGGATTTTTTCCTTTTATTCGAGAATTTTTCGAGGGTTTGTTTTTCAGTTTTGATGTTGTGAGGGGTTGAGGAATAAATTTAATTAAGACGGAGGATTCCCCGCATGTTTTCATGATTTTTTTTCAATTATTGTCAACGTTTTTGATTATTTTCAATTTATTATGCCAATTTATTTGGACAAAATGGGGTTTTCTGAGGGGATTTATTGTTTCACTTCGGATTTTTGAGGGATTGAGGAATGATTTTATGATTCTACTCCTATTCTCATGATTTGTTTTTGGTTTTTATCAATATTTTTTATGATTTAGACTTTTTTTGCGAATTTGTTGGGGAAAAATTGGGATTTTTGGGGGAATTATTTATTTGTTTATTTTCTTTTCGCTTTCTGAGGGGTTGAGGGGTGAGTTGGGGGATTTCCACCTGGTCTCATGATTTTTTTGGGTATTGTTCATGTTTTTTGATGATTTGGCACTTTTTTGTTGATTTTTAATTGAAACAATCTTTGAAATTTTTTAAATTAAAATAATTTTTTTTTCAATCTTGAGTGAAATTTCAAAATAATTTTCTGTTTTATTAACAAATTCATTCAATCGTTAAACCCACTCCCTCATTTATTCACAATTATTTTACTATTTTAATTGTTTGTAAAACAAATTTGTTGGGGGAAAAATGGGTTTTTTGGAGGAATTGTTTATTTGTTTATTTTCTTCTCGCTTTCTGAGGGGCTGAGGGATGAGTTGGGGAATTTCCACCTAGTCTCATGATTTTTTTGGGCATTGTTCATGTTTTTTGATGATTTGGCACTTTTTTGTTGATTTTTAATTGAAACAATCTTTAAAATTTTTTAAATTAAAATAATTTTTTTTTCAATCTTGAGTGAAATTTCAAAATAATTTTCTGTTTTATTAACGAATTCATTCAATCGTTAAACCCACTCCCTCATTTATTCATAATTATTTTACTATTTTAATTGTTTGTAAAACAAATTTGTTGGGGGAAAAATGGGTTTTTTGGAGGAATTGTTTATTTGTTTATTTTCTTCTCGCTTTCTGAGGGGCTGAGGGATGAGTTGGGGAATTTCCACCTAGTCTCATGATTTTTTTGGGCATTGTTCATGTTTTTTGATGATTTGGCACTTTTTTGTTGATTTTTAATTGAAACAATCTTTAAAATTTTTTAAATTAAAATAATTTTTTTTTCAATCTTGAGTGAAATTTCAAAACAATTTTCTGTTTTATTAACGAATTCATTCAATCGTTAAACCCACTCCCTCATTTATTCATAATTATTTTACTATTTTAATTGTTTGTAAAACAAATTTGTTGGGGGAAAAATGGGTTTTTTGGAGGAATTGTTTATTTGTTTATTTTCTTCTCGCTTTCTGAGGGGCTGAGGGATGAGTTGGGGAATTTCCACCTAGTCTCATGATTTTTTTGGGCATTGTTCATGTTTTTTTGATGATTTGGCACTTTTTTTGCTGATTTTTAATTGAAACAATCTTTAAAATTTTTTAAATTAAAATAATTTTTTTTTCAATCTTGAGTGAAATTTCAAAATAATTCTCTGTTTTATTAACGAATTAATTCAATCGTTAAACCCACTCCCTCATTTATTCATAATTATTTTACTATTTTAATTGTTTGAAAACGTCAGAGAATTTTTTCGTGAAATTTTCTTTCATGAAATAAAACTGTTCCGTTTGAATTGGTCTTTTCGCCTGGGTTTTTCGGGGAATCTGCCGGATGAATCACGTGGTATTGTTGGGATCACCTGGTTTTATTCTTCTCTGAGGGTTTCAGGGGCTTATGAATTTTATTTGTTATTTTTTCGGGTAGTGAGAGGGGGCAGTGGTCGACTCGAAGGATGAGACATTCCATGAATTTTTTAGTCNAATGGGTTTTTTGGAGGAATTGTTTATTTGTTTATTTTCTTCTCGCTTTCTGAGGGGCTGAGGGATGAGTTGGGGAATTTCCACCTAGTCTCATGATTTTTTTGGGCATTGTTCATGTTTTTTTGATGATTTGGCACTTTTTTTGCTGATTTTTAATTGAAACAATCTTTAAAATTTTTTAAATTAAAATAATTTTTTTTTCAATCTTGAGTGAAATTTCAAAATAATTCTCTGTTTTATTAACGAATTAATTCAATCGTTAAACCCACTCCCTCATTTATTCATAATTATTTTACTATTTTAATTGTTTGAAAACGTCAGAGAATTTTTTCGTGAAATTTTCTTTCATGAAATAAAACTGTTCCGTTTGAATTGGTCTTTTCGCCTGGGTTTTTCGGGGAATCTGCCGGATGAATCACGTGGTATTGTTGGGATCACCTGGTTTTATTCTTCTCTGAGGGTTTCAGGGGCTTATGAATTTTATTTGTTATTTTTTCGGGTAGTGAGAGGGGGCAGTGGTCGACTCGAAGGATGAGACATTCCATGAATTTTTTAGTCCCGAGGCTGAGCTCGCCGCTCAGATACTCAACTCATTAAAAAGTGTGTCAGTGATAGCTGATTGTTGGTGAACATATGGCTGGAGGGGGATTTTAGTTGGATTTTGTTTGCCAAAGGTTAGGGGAACTGCATTCAACATTTTCCGTATTTTCTCTGCATTTTTAACACGAGAGAATTGACGACATTTCATTAACAAAATTAATTGTGAAATTGAAAAACTATTTTTTTCATAATTTTTTTCAAATTTACGATTCCTTTCGTTTTATGAAATTGAGTCATGAGATGATTTTAAAAAAAAAAAAATTTTAATTACTTAATTAATTAATATTTTTATTCATGGATTTATTTATTTATTTATTTATTTATTTATTTATTTTACATGACCTAAATAGTAAATAAATGAACTTGAATGTAATCCAATTAGTTTATGCAGAAGTAAATAGTAACGCTCGGTGGAAATTTTAATTATCAATTAATAATTGTTTTTTATTTATTGTTCCTGTTTATTGAGGAAGAATTTGTGATGGGGATATGATTGAACTTCAGTAATTACGCATTTGCAATTTGAATAATGAGAAGTTTTAATTGAGGGGAGTTGACGGAATTAAATTGTTTAATTGATGTTGATTTTTGTGTTACAAGGTGTTGACCTTGTAGAATAATCATGCCTCTGTTCGGAAAGTCTCAAAAAAGTCCGGCGGAGGTTGTGAAGGCCCTCAAAGAAGCGGTCAATGCACTGGAGCGTGGAGACAAGAAGGTTGAAAAGGTAAATTAATGGTCTTTCACTGAATATTTAACGAGAAAGTGTCAAGAGGCCTTTTCGTTGCAAATTAATTTCCCCCACTGAAATGTCTCTCGATATTTTCTTCCAAGCCACTCGTTAACGATTTTTGAGAATTAATGAGGGATGAAATGATTAGATGGAAATTGTGCGAGTGAAATTGAAGATTTTTGTTTATTTGGTAATTATCTCGTTAATGAGTAGTTACAGAGAAAAATGTCAAAAGATCTTTTTCGTAGGAAATTAAATTCCCTACAAAAAATGTATTTGACGGTTTCCTCTGAATCCACTTGTTAACGAGATAATCCGACGATTTGTTGATAGTAAAATCATTCAACTGAAATTGGAGACTCTTTGTTAATTACGTGATAATCTCGTTAATGAGTGGTTTCAGGGCTAAATGTCTTGTGACCTTTTTTGTAGCTCGCGAAATTCTCTACAAAAATGTCTTATGGCATTTTCTTCTAAACCCACTCATTCCCTCGTAAATCAGTTTTCGACATCTTACCACTTGAACCCAGAGTGAATCAACTAATTAGTTCATCAATTAGTCAAAATTGCTTAACGATTAACGAATAAAAATCGCTTGGCTCTCAAAGAGGAGAATTACCAGAAGAAGAACTCCAACCGCGCATTGAAAAACCCAATAATTCATTGATAAATTGTAGCTGCTGCACTTCTTCAATTAATTTTTGTCAATTAAAAAAGATATTGAGATATCACCTCTACATCCACTCGTTAATGAGTGATTTCAGAGAAAAATGTCAAAAGAGCTTTTTCGTAGGAAATTAAATTCCCCACAAAAAATGCATTTGACGTTTTCCTCTGAATCCACTCGTTAACGAGATAATCCGACGATTTGTTGATAGTGAAATCATTCAACTGAAATTGGAGACTCTTTGTTAATTACGTGATTATCTCGTTAATGAGTGGTTTCAGGGCTAAATATCTTCTGACCTTTTTTGTAGCTCGCGAAATTCTCTACAAAAATGTCTTATGGCATTTTCTTCTAAACCCACTCATTCCCTCGTAAATCAGTTTTCGACATCTTACCACTTGAACCCAGAGTGAATCAACTAATTAGTTCATCAATTAGTCAAAATTGCTTAACGATTAACGAATAAAAATCGCTTGGCTCTCAAAGAGGAGAATTACCAGAAGAAGAACTCCAACCGCGCATTGAAAAACCCAATAATTCATTGATAAATTGTAGCTGCTGCACTTCTTCAATTAATTTTTGTCAATTAAAAAAGAAATTGAGATGTCACCTCTACATCCACTCGTTAATGAGTGATTTCAGAGAAAAATGTCAAAAGAGCTTTTTCGTAGGAAATTAAATTCCCCACAAAAAATGCATTTGACGTTTTCCTCTGAATCCACTCGTTAACGAGATAATCCGACGATTTGTTGATAGTGAAATCATTCAACTGAAATTGGAGACTCTTTGATAATTACGTGATTATCTCGTTAATGAGTGGTTTCAGGGCTAAATGTCTTCTGACCTTTTTTGTAGCTCGCGAAATTCTCTACAAAAATGTCTTATGGCATTTTTTTCTAAACTCACTCATTCCCTCGTAAATCAGTTTTCGACATCTTACCACTTGAACCCAGAGTGAATCAACTAATTAGTTCATCAATTAGTCAAAATTGCTTAACGATTAACGAATAAAAATCGCTTGGCTCTCAAAGAGGAGAATTACCAGAAGAAGAACTCCAACCGCGCATTGAAAAACCCAATAATTCATTGATAAATTGTAGCTGCTGCACTTCTTCAATTAATTTTTGTCAATTAAAAAAGATATTGAGATATCACCTCTACATCCACTCGTTAATGAGTGATTTCAGAGAAAAATGTCAAAAGAGCTTTTTCGTAGGAAATTAAATTCCCCACAAAAAATGCATTTGACGTTTTCCTCTGAATCCACTCGTTAACGAGATAATCCGACGATTTGTTGATAGTGAAATCATTCAACTGAAATTGGAGACTCTTTGTTAATTACGTGATTATCTCGTTAATGAGTGGTTTCAGGGCTAAATATCTTCTGACCTTTTTTGTAGCTCGCGAAATTCTCTACAAAAATGTCTTATGGCATTTTCTTCTAAACCCACTCATTCCCTCGTAAATCAGTTTTCGACATCTTACCACTTGAACCCAGAGTGAATCAACTAATTAGTTCATCAATTAGTCAAAATTGCTTAACGATTAACGAATAAAAATCGCTTGGCTCTCAAAGAGGAGAATTACCAGAAGAAGAACTCCAACCGCGCATTGAAAAACCCAATAATTCATTGATAAATTGTAGCTGCTGCACTTCTTCAATTAATTTTTGTCAATTAAAAAAGATATTGAGATATCACCTCTACATCCACTCGTTAATGAGTGATTTCAGAGAAAAATGTCAAAAGAGCTTTTTCGTAGGAAATTAAATTCCCCACAAAAAATGCATTTGACGTTTTCCTCTGAATCCACTCGTTAACGAGATAATCCGACGATTTGTTGATAGTGAAATCATTCAACTGAAATTGGAGACTCTTTGATAATTACGTGATTATCTCGTTAATGAGTGGTTTCAGGGCTAAATGTCTTCTGACCTTTTTTGTAGCTCGCGAAATTCTCTACAAAAATGTCTTATGGCATTTTCTTCTAAACCCACTCATTCCCTCGTAAATCAGTTTTCGACATCTTACCACTTGAACCCAGAGTGAATCAACTAATTAGTTCATCAATTAGTCAAAATTGCTTAACGATTAACGAATAAAAATCGCTTGGCTCTCAAAGAGGAGAATTACCAGAAGAAGAACTCCAACCGCGCATTGAAAAACCCAATAATTCATTGATAAATTGTAGCTGCTGCACTTCTTCAATTAATTTTTATCAATTAAAAAAGATATTGAGATGTTCTGCAACAATTAACAAGCATCTGTGCTTCACTTTATGCTTCAAAAAGTCAGCAAAGAAAGGAAAAACCCTAGTTATTGACCCACAAAATTGAATACAATTCCAAAAAAAAAAAACATCCTCAACTCCAGAGAAAATAAAGTGTCAGCTGTTGTTAATTGCGTAATTAACGACTGTTAATTTGTCATTTCCACAGGCCCAGGAGGATGTTAGCAAAAATCTCGTACACATTAAGAACATGCTGTATGGAACAGCTGAGACTGAGCCGCAGGCGGACATAGTTGTTGCACAGTTGGCGCAAGAATTGTACAACAGCAATCTGCTGCTTCTTCTTGTACAAAACCTGAGTCGCATTGACTTCGAGGTAATCCAGAGGGATACGATGCTCCTTCACTCCTCATTATCTCATTTCACTCGTGATAAGAATTCAACAGAGAGATAACAAAAGTTAATTATGATTTTGACCCCCGAAAAAGCTGACAACCTCCTCTGTAAAAATATTCTTTTGTCTGAAAATAAATACTTAAATTACTTTTCAAGATTATTACATTTGTCGATGCTTTTGGAGAACTAAAGTCAGCATTTCTGTTTTAAAATTATTCTGATTATCGAAGAAAGTTTGGAAATGATTTGTTGATGAAGTGGAGTCTAAAAATAAATCCTCAAATCACTTTTTAAGCATTCGTTGGTATATTTGAAGAACCACAATCAACATTTCTCCATTTTTTAAATTATCTTTTGATTATTGAATGACTTGAAGACCATTTTTATCGGCTCTAAACGCCTTGTAATGAGTCAGTATTATTTAACAATCATTTTTTTATTTTTTTAATGGACAGACTCATTGTTTTTCATTTTTTTAATGTTCCAAATCGTTGAATAATGCCTAAAACCGGGTTATCAGTGATTTTAAGGTATTAAAATTTGATTTATTTGTTAGTTAGGTAAAACAATATATGCCCTAGACTGATTATAGTTTGGAAACTGTTTGGAAATCAATTTTTATCAATTGTGGAACAACTTTAATGATTTAATGACCTTCAAAAATGATTTTCCGATGCTTTTCAATAATTTGAATCAGTGTTTCTCTATTTTTAAACAATTCAAATCGTTGAATAATCACTTGACATAATAATAATATTCATGGATTTGATTAATAAAATCAATTCTTGTGAATTGTGAAATGATTAAAATCATCAAACATTTTCGAAAAACGGTTTATTAATGAATTTTTAATGCATTAAAATTAATTTACAAAATTATTTCAAGAGTTGAAAATTGTACATTCTCCTTTAATTTGGGTAAAAATGAATTTAGCGAATTGAAATTCGATTTTTTTGGTCTTGGGGAATTTGTTAATTAAGTATACATAAATAAAATGTATAAATGAATGAATTGTAGAGAAATTTTGATGATTTAATGATCTTTAAAAATAGTTTTTCGATTCTTTTAGATAATTTCAATCAATATTTTTCAATTTTTTAACTATTTAAACCATTAAACAATTTTTTAAAATCATTTGTTTGTGAATTGGATCGATTAAAGTGAATTCTTCTAATTTTTTAAATTACTGTTCGTTATGAAAATGAAGAAATCGAATTTATTAAACTTCATATACTCATAGATGTTTTATAAATATTGATAATGACTTGAAGAGAATTGAGAGAATGAAGAGTGAAACATCAATGAATAATTTTTAATCTTCGATTAATTCTTTTTTTTTTGTACTTTTTAAAATAATCTGATTAAAATCTGTAATTGTTGAAAAATGAGGGGAGGGTTACGAATTGATTACCTAGAAAACTGAAAAAATTTCTTGAATACTTCGGAAAATTTCACAGTTTTCCAGATAACTAGATTTTCAAAGATTTTTCTCGAATTATTTGGGAAGAATTTTCATGAATTTTCATGAATTTTGTAGAGTTTAGAATTTATGTATGAAAGTCTGAGAAGCAAGAATTGATCATTTTTGCCCATGATAAATATAAAAAAATTGAAATTTGGGAAGTGAAGAATAATTTGTGAGTTAAAAAAATTTAGAAATACTGTTTTTTTTCAAATAATCAACAATTAGGTAATTTAGATATGTTTTGATATAAAGATACACTTCAAACATGAAAAAATGAAAAAAATGACGCAGAAAAAATTTTTGGCATTTGAAGAATTTGAAAATACCGGGAATTTTTTCAGCGACTACTTCCCGTGACTCATTGATCAATCAGATATTTCAGTATAAAACAACTTCACGTTTCCTTCATCTTTATTAGAGGATTCAAATCATCAAGTAGTTTTGAAAGACAATTTATCCGTAAATTTAAGGCATGGGAATTCATTTAAAAAATTATTCCAAGAGTCGCAGGTTGTTTATTTGTCTTGAATTTGTCTAAAAATCAATTTAGTGAATTAAAAAGCGATTTTTCTTTGTTAAATAGGGAAAAAAGGATGTCGCTCAGGTATTCAACAACATTCTGCGACGACAAATTGGCACACGATCACCAACAGTGGAATACATCTGTACAAAACCAGAAATATTGTTCACACTTATGTCTGGGTAGGTAGATAAATTAATCGTGCAATTAAATTAAATTATTTTCTCCATTTAGGCAAGGTTGCACCAAGCCCTGTTATCCAAATAAACCCCAGGGTAAAATTTACTATAAATAAAAAATTTATAAGAATAATTTTTATAAATAATAAAAATTATTATTCATAAAAAAATATTTTTTAAAAATTATTAGAATTATTATTTTTATAACTTTTATAAATTATTTTCTTATAAATTTTTTATTCATTCTGTAGCCCCATTTTTTTGTTAAAAAATTGATAAGAATCAATAAAAATTATTATTTATTTTAAAAAATTATTAGAGTTATTACTTTTATAATTTTTATAAATTACTTTATTTTTATTCTTATAAATTTTTTATTTATCCTGCAGTTCCATTCGAATTAACACTGATTTAACCTTACGATTAAATTTTATTTTTTGTTCCTGGGATAAATTTGAGATACTCTCCCGGGTAAAATAATCCATCGAACATCCAAATTTACTTTTTTTCTTATCCGACGTTTTCGTTATCCGGAGCTGGTGCAACCGGGCCTCAATGGAAGAAAAAAAGAGTTAATATTGCTTTTCCAACTTACGATATTGATAATTGAAAATTATTACTTAAAATTTGGGAATGAAGCTCTCGCTTTATTTCGACGTCTGATTAAATAATTTTAAAAGGTGATGATTTTTTTTTAGGTACGAGCACCAAGATATTGCACTGAACTGTGGTACGATGCTGAGAGAGTGTGCGCGGTACGAGGCACTCGCTAAGATTATGATTTACTCCGATGATTTTTATAACTTCTTTAGATACGTCGAGGTTTCTACATTCGATATAGCATCAGATGCCTTTTCTACGTTTAAGGTATTGATTGAGCGTTTGAATAATTAAGAAATTCAAATGAATTTTTCATTTGTTAAATTGAATATAAATTATATATAATTATAAATATAAATGAATCATTTTAATGTTTTTACTAATTAATTTTATAAATTCATAATTTTAGTATTAATTTTTTATATTTATTAAACGATTAAAAATGAATTTTAATGAGTGAAAATTGTATTGAGAAAGCTTTCACATGTCAAATAAATTTATTGAGTGATTAGGATTTAGTTCACTATTTTTAGTGTCAAATGTTGGACATTTGAACATTAAAAGTATTAGTAACAATTTTTATTTTCATATTTTCAGAATTGAAAATTGATTTTAATCACTGAAAATGCATTGAAATTAGTGGGAATTTTTCTTGAAAAGGTTTATGAAATAATTTTAGATTCGTTATCTAACGGAAATGTTGTTTTCAATTCCAGGAATTGCTAACAAGGCACAAAATCTTGAGTGCCGAATTTTTAGAAGTCAATTACGATAAAGTTTTTTCTCACTACCAGAGGTTGTTGAACTCGGAGAACTACGTGACACGCCGACAGAGTTTGAAACTACTCGGCGAACTTCTGCTGGACAGACACAATTTTACAGTAATAACTTTTTTATTTATCCGGAGTGAGAAGTGAGTCGAGAGGATTGTTTGATGATAAATTGATTTTTCCAGGTCATGACTCGATATATATCGAACCCCGATAATCTGAAGCTCATGATGAACATGCTAAAGGAAAAGTCACGTAATATACAATTTGAGGCCTTTCACGTATTCAAGGTAATTTTATTCATCGGCTGATTATGGGATTAATGAACTAATTAGTTGGTTTATTCTGGGGAAGTGGTAAAATGTCGAAATTTGATGCTCGAGGGGATGACGATTCCATTACATTAATTATTTTCCTGTTTTTATTGAGTTTTGAAACGTAAAATGAAGCACAGGTGTTATTAATCATTGCAGAACATCTCAATTCTTTTTTTTAATTAATAAAAATTAATTGAAGAAGTGCAGCAGCTACAATTTATCGATTAATTATTGGGGTTTTCAATGCGCGATTGGAGTTCTTCTAGTAACTCTCCTCTTTGAGAGCCAAGGGATTTTTATTCGTTAATTGTTGAGCAATTTTGACTAATTCATGAACTAATTAGTTGATTAATTCTGGGTTGAAGTGGTAAGATGTCGAAAATTGATTAACGAGGGAAGGAGTGGGTTTAGGAGAAAATTTCATAAGACATTTTTGTAGAGAATTTCATGAGCTACGAAAAAGGTCTGAAGACATTTAGCTCTGAAACCACTCATTAACGAGATAATCACCTACTTAACAAAGAGTCTCCAATTTTCGTTGAATGATTTTACTATCAACAAATCGTTGGATTATCTCGTTAACGAGTGGATTCAGAGGAAAACGACAAATACATTTTTTGGAGGGAATTTAATTTCCTACGAAAAAGGTCTTTTGACATTTTTCTCTGAAATCACTCATTAACGAGTGGATGTAGAGGTGACATCTCAATTTCTTTTTTAATTGACAAAAATTAATTGAAGAAGTGCAGCAGCTACAATTTATCAATTAATTATTGGGGTTTTCAATGCGCGATTGGAGTTCTTCCGGTAACTCTCCTCTTTGAGAGCCAAGGGATTTTTATTCGTTAATTGTTGAGCAATTTTGACTAATTCATGAACTAATTAGTTGATTAATTCTGGGTTGAAGTGGTAAGATGTCGAAAATTGATTAACGAGGGAAGGAGTGGGTTTAGGAGAAAATTTCATAAGACATTTTTGTAGAGAATTTCATGAGCTACGAAAAAGGTCTGAAGACATTTAGCTCTGAAACCACTCATTAACGAGATAATCACCTACTTAACAAAGAGTCTCCAATTTTCGTTGAATGATTTTACTATCAACAAATTGTTGGATTATCTCGTTAACGAGTGGATTCAGAGGAAAACGACAAATACATTTTTTGGAGGGAATTTAATTTCCTACGAAAAACGTCTTTTGACATTTTTCTCTGAAATCACTCATCAACGAGTGGATGTAGAAGTGTCATTCAGTGTGAAATGTCACTTCTACATCCATCCATGAAAAAAAACATCGAGATAACGTTCGAAAGGTTATACCCGGGCCTTAAAGAAAAAAAAATTGCACCACTCATTATTGAACAATCTCGGTAACGAGTGGGTTTGATAGAAAATACCAAGAAACATTTCTTGGGGATTTAATTATCCACAAAAAAGTCTCTTGACATTTTCCCCTGCAGCCAATTAATTTCACCCTCCGAATAATTCGAATAATTCACTCCTCCAAACCCCAAAAAACGTCAAAAAATTAATTTCTGAATTCAATTAATAATCTTCCAATTATTTCCCAGGTATTTGTTGCTAATCCAAACAAGCCAAAACCAATTCTGGACATACTGCTCCGCAATCAAGAGAAACTCATTGAATTCCTGACGCGCTTCCACACAGACAGATCCGAGGACGAGCAGTTCAACGACGAGAAAGCATATCTCATAAAGCAGATCAAAGAGTTAAAGTCTGTAAATGATAATTAAAAAACACCCCAACAAAACCAGCCCATCGGATTTATTCAATTTACGTTAATCACCACTTTATCTTATTATTTTTTTCCTATTTCGTAAATTAATTAATCGATTAATTGATCTTTCCTTTCCAAGGTAGTTGTGTAAATACAAATTTACATTCGTGAGATCATTATTGTATAATAGACAGACTCCAGACTTTATAATACTCCGCTATGATGAAGAAAAAATAATCCAGACGTTGATTACGAGTTAATTAGCCTTTTCGATTATTTCGGATGCTCTCGGACTGTTGTGAGAGCACTTTCCACGGATCGGGGGGGAAATTTCCGTCTCCAAATGCTGGTCATAAGTCGGTTTGTCGCGAGTAGTTCTCGAGATATTGGAAAAATTAGTTTTCGATTTCGAATTGAAAAGTTTCGATTGCTCAGCGGATTATTATCGAAAGGGGCTCAAGACCAGGGTTTTGGATTGGAAATTTCTCCACCTGTTCGATCACACCCACCACCCCTGGGATTATTCAGATCGAGTTTTTTTTTTCATTTCGAAATGTCGAAATTGTGGGGTTGAATGGCTCGGTATGGCAGCTACAAGACGTAAATCTCGTGCCTATTCATATCTTATTTATCAGGTGTAATTGTTACAACAGGATTGTCGATTGTTGCATCGGAAACTGTTGTATATTGTGATACAAAGAAAATTAATAATTAATGGACTGGAGTAATTGTTTATCCGGGGCATTGACGAGTGTTTTGAATTACGGTGGGATCATATTTTAGTTTTATATTCGATTGTAACGAGTATTCGCAGATGATTGAGAGGGATTTTTGGTTGAAGTGGTGGAAGGGCCTTTTGACATTTTGAAATGACTTTTTCCATTTTAATCGATGAAATTTCGGAATTATCTCGTTAACGAGTGGTTCCAGGGGAAAATGTCAAGAGAGCTTTTTCGCAGGAAATTGAATTCCCTACAAAAAATGTATTTGACGTTTTCCTTTGAATCCACTCGTTAACGAGATAATCCGACGATTTGTTGATAGTGAAATCATTCAACGGAAATTGGAGACTCTTTGTTAATTACGTGATTATCTCGTTAATGAGTGGTTTCAGAGCTAAATGTCTTCAGACCTTTTTTGTAGCTCATGAAATTCTCTACAAAAATGTCTTATGAAATTTTCTCCTAAACCCACTCATTCCCTCGTAAATCAATTTTCGACCTCTTACCACTTCAACCCAGAATGAATCAACTAATTAGTTCATCAATTAGTCAAAATTGCTTAACAATTAACGAATAAAAATCCCTTGGCTCTCAAAGAGGAGAATTAGCAGAAGAAGAACTCCAACCGCGCATTGAAAAACCCAATAATTAGTTGATAAATTGTAGCTGCTGTACTTCTTCAATTAATTTTTATTAATTAAAAAAAGAAATTGAGATGCTCTAAATTAAATGAAAAAATCACTTCGGGTTACTCTACACGCTGCGAATGTATTACTTATAATTAATAAGCATCTATGCTTCATTTTATGCTTAAAAAAAGTGAATAAAGAAAAGAAAAATAATAATTATTGTAATCCAATATTGTATGTATAGAATTGACTGTTAATGAAAAATGTAACGCCAAAATAATGATTACTGTTTATTATATTTATTGCAATAAAAAGTATTATTAAAAAGGGAACACATTCTTTCAATCCCGAGCTTCTTTGAAGTATCAAACGACATCACAAGTATAAAAATTTTTGTCAACGGTAATTATCTAGTATAATTATTTACAGTGCAAGAATGGCCTACTCTAGTTTACGATAAAAAAATATTCCGATTGTCCACAAAAGCTTAACTCTATCTCCACATTCATATTTTTAAGTTGAATGATGGTATTTTTGAAAATTCATTATAACAAATCTATGATTCAAAAAAATATTGAAAAAAAAGTAAATGCAGTAAATTCTAAATTCATTTTTCAACTACTCTTTCCCCTCTCTCAATATTATTATGAAAAGAACCCAAGAAAGCATCTTCCAAGCCCCCAAAAGTATGAATCGAAACAGAAATACAGAATAACATCAGGTTCTCGTCAAGTTTTGAGTTATTTTTAGGAGTTCACTCGCCTCCACCAGGTCTGGAGGACAACTGCTGCCTCCAGGACCTTCTTCAGATGCTGACGATGATCTTTAGTCTCCCTGAACCTCCTGAAGGACCTCTGAATGACAACTGCTGAGTTTCTCTTCTCCAAAAACGATTTTCTCGAGATTTTCGTTGATTGAAGACCACTGCACCAATCAGAGATGATTTTGCCTGAATGCTTCTTGATGATGAACTCGTTCCTCGTCTTTTTCGTTAGTAAATGTCCCCTCCACCATCTCTGAATGGTCTTGACGCTCGTTAGAACCTCGAGATAATTACTCCTCTGGAGTTTCATGGATTTATTAGCTCTGAATCTTCTCTGAACGAAGATTGTGGATTTCCTCAGGTTGTTGAAGGCCTCGAGGTCCTTGCGACCCTGGAAGACTGTCCTGTACCATCTCTGGAGCATCAGGACAGCCCCACGAGTCTCTAGATAATTATCTCGCTGGGATTTCATGAGTCTGTAGCTCCTGAAGAGCCTCTGGATGCCGACTGCTGCGTTCTTCTTGTTCTGGAGGTCTTGGAGGTACGGTTTGGAGGTCCCGTACTCCTCCAGCTCCTCTGGAGGATCATTGCTGCCTTCTTGGTGGTCAGGAAGAATCTTCGGTCCTTCAGGGATCTCCACCAGGTCTGATTTGTCCTCGCAGCGTCGTTCTTCTGGAGGAATTCGATTTGCTTCTTGGTTTTGAGGACTTGGAAGATCCTCCTGGATCTGTAGGATCTCCAGCCGCGCTGGATTGTAACAGCAGCATCACTCCTTCGTCTTCTGAGGTAGTTCCTGATCAAGATGTAGTACAAATTGGCTCTCCACCATTTCTGCAAGGTCTTGGCTGCGTCCTCGAACCTTGGAGCCTGGAATTTGCAGATCATCTCCCAGAGGAGGTTCAGGTTAAACTGCAAAACTCTCGATTCCAAACATCTCCATCAGCACCCACAACGCGTGCTCCACCTTCAGGAAGCACCTGGGGCGCCTGTTAGCCAGACCCCAGTCAGGTTTGGCATTCGGAATGACAACTATCCTCTCCATGCTCGTGTTCTTCCTCTTCGCAGGGGTCACTCTCCCCTCCCTCTTGAGCCCAGCACTGCAGGCACTCTTCACCAGCCAGAATGTCCTCCGGTCATTGATCACCTGCACCCTGAACTCCTCGTCACCCAGCAGAACCCACAGCAGAGTCGCCAGGTTCAGGAACAGCTCCACCTGTCCCTTGATCGTGACATTCATCAGTCTCGCCACAGTCTCCATGTACTCCAGCCTCCTGACCTCCCCAGCAGTGTCCGGCAGCTTCGCCAGGGTTATCAGGATGTTGGTGCACCTCAGGCACACGTCCATCCAGGGCAGCGACCTGTTGGACTGCTCCAGGAGGTCGTAGATCTTCTCCACCAGCTGGAGCTCGCAGAACATCACGCAACCCCTGATGCTGAGTCTCGTCAGGGTGTCGATGCACGCGAGGCACATCGAGAGCTGACCCACGTTGTTGAAGGTCATCAGACCGTTCATGGCTTCCTCGAGACGGTAGGCCACTGTGGTCGAGGGAACCGCTGCCTCCGCTGCTCTTTTGGAACGAATGCGCAGCTCTTTTATCTTTGTTGACTGCTCTTTACGCACCTGGTGTCCCCTCCAAGCAGCTTGGATGACCCCAGCAGCGGTGGTCCGCCTCCTGAGGGTCTCCTCGAGCCTCCTCCTCTCAGCAGCAGCCTCTGCCCACTCCCTCGCCCTCAGTTTCCTCCTCCAGGTCCTCTGGACCCTCACCACAGCTGCCCTCACCCTCAGGAACTCCTCCCTGACTCTCCGCCCCTCCAACGTCGCCCTGAATCTCCTCTGGATGGAAATCGAGGCTGTCCTCAGCTCCAGGAAATCCCCTCTCACCCCCCTGGAGACAATCGTCGACCTCCACCTCCTCTGGATGACAACAGCAGCTGCTCTCACCCTCTGATAGTTCCCAAGGCACCTCCTCATCCTCACGAACGACTGCAGCAGAACGATCGCCCTTTTCTTCTCCAAAAACGATTCCCTCGACTTCCTCATCATCCTCTGGGCACGGAACCTCCTCTGGACGCTGACGACAGCGATCCTGAGGGCCTCGTAGTCACGTCGGGATCTTCTTGCTGCTAGAGTCGCCCTGAGTCGCCTCTGGATGCACACAATCGAGTTTCTTTTGATTAAATAGCTCTCTCTGATTTGTTTCGAGTGTTTTCGGGTTCTCCAGGCCCTCTGGAGGACCTTGGCAGCTCTTTCGCGTTCCTGGAGGTGCCTGAAAGCCCTTCTCGCTAGGAATCCCCTGGAGATGGTCTGGAGCCTCAGAACTGCAGCTTTTATCTGCAAGAATTGAGCTCTCGTTTTTTCAGTGAGGATTTTAGATCTCCAGAGGGTCTGGATTATTAGGATGTTCTTTCTCAGCTCCAGGAAGTCCTTGCGATGTTTTCTTGTGGCTTGGAGACCCCTGAACCACCTCTGAAGGGTGAGGGCTGCATTCCTCTTCCTGGTGAATTCATCTCTGATTGCTCTTGATTCTCTGAGGTTTGAGTACCAGTTTGAGATTGTTGAGACTGATCTCTTTGTTCTGAGATAGTTTTTACGTGCTGTCTTCATCCTGAAGGTCTTCTGGATGACGATGGCAGCGGTCTTGAGTTGGAGATAGTTGTGATACAGTTGGGTCGTGATTTTCGAAGATCTGTACCATCTCTGGATGGTGATGGCAGATTTTCGTTTAGTTTGGAATTGTTTTTGGTAGTTCACTCGCCTCCACCAGGTCTGGAGGACAACTGCTGCCCCCAGGAGCTTCTTCAGATGCTGACGATGATCTTTGGTCTCCCTGAACCTCCTGAAGGCCCTCTGAATGACAACTGCTGAGTTTCTCTTCTCCAAAAACGATTTTCTCGAGATTTTCATTGATTGAAGACCACTGTACCAATCAGAGATGATTTTGACTGAATGCTTCTTGATGATGAACTCGTTCCTCGTCTTTTTCGTTAGTAAATGTCTCCTCCACCATCTCTGAATGGTCTTGACACTCGTTAGAACCTCGAGATAATTATTCCTCTGGAGTTTCATGGATTTATTAGCTCTGAATCTTCTCTGAACGAAGATTGTGGATTTCCTCAGGTTGTTGAAGGCCTCGAGGTCCTTGCGACCCTGGGAGACTGTCCTGTACCACCTCTGGAGCATCAGGACAGCCCTACGAGTCTCTAGATAATTATCTCGCTGGGATTTCATGAGTCTGTAGCTCCTGAAGAGCCTCTGGATGACGACTGTTGCGTTCTTCTTGTTCTGGAGGTCTTGGAGGTACGGTTTGGAGGTCCTGTACCTCCTCCAGCTCCTCTGGAGGATCATTGCTGCCTTCTTAGTGGTCAGGAAGGATCTTCGGTCCTTCAGGGATCTCCACCAGGTCTGAATTGTCCTCGCAGCGTCGTTCTTCTGGAGGAATTCGATTTGCTTCGTGGTTTTGAGGGCTTGGAAGATCCTCCTGGATCTGTAGGATCTCCAGCAGCACTGAATTGTAAGAGCAGCATCACTCCTTCGACTTCTGAGGTAGTTCCTGACCAAGATGTAGTACAAATTGGCTCTCCACCATTTCTGCAAGGTCTTGGCTGCTTTCTCGAACCTTGGAGCCTGGAATTTGTAGATTATCTGCCAGAGGAGGCTCAGGGTCTTCTCTCGGTGGCCATCAGCCACTGATTTGGCGTCGATGTCCCCGGTGATAACGTAACCAGCTTCGTGGAGGGCAGAAAGAGCTAGGTCTGCATTGTGAACCTTCTGGAGTCTGCAATTTGAAAATAATTTACCCCATAATTGAAATTAATAAAGTTCCTATTTCCTTCAATAACTTTGTTCATTTGTCAATTGAATTATCTAGGAAACGATTGGGTTTACCAGAAAATTTCTCACAACATTTTTTTTACATAATTTCCTAAACTACAAAAAAGATCTTGCGACATTTTCCTCTAAAATCACTCATTACCGAGATAATCACCAATCAACAAAATTAAAAACCTCGAAATCCCCTCCACTCCCACAATTTCGTCATTCTCTCAATTCCGTTCACTCCCAATTATCTCAAAAACTACTGACGTTAGAGTAAAACATCACAAAACCTTCTTTGCAGCTTATGAAATTCCCCACAAAAAATGTCAAGACACATTCCCCCCTAAACCCACTCCCAAACAAGATAATCCCACAATAAAAAGCCTTCTCTCCCTCAAACAATCAACAAATCATTTCCTTCCTTCATCCCACAACTACCTGGAGATCGCTGGAGTCCTGCACCTGGAGGTCAGGTTGATCCCTCCGATGATGAGCTCCATGACCCTGCAGAGTCTCACGCCGTCCCTGAGGTCCACCGAGAGGTCCTTAACAGCGTAATCGTACTCGTCCAGATACGTCTGCTTGTGCATGAGAACGTAGCCATGAGGCTTCAGCATCTTCGTGATGTCGCCAACTCCACTCAGCGTTTGCCTGGAGAAATTCAGGAGGATCTCCCTGCTCTCCTTGAAGAGGGCCCTCTTGTGGAAGAGGCAGGGGTCGTGGCCTATCAATTTACTCCTCTTCGCGTGGTCCAGAAAATAAACGAGAAGAATAAACTTCTTCAGGATAAATTTGTTGAGATTAGGCATGAAGTTGGGGGTCTTGAGGGTCGAGTTCTGGTGGGAGAACTTTTCCGAGAGGAAGGGGTCGTTGAAGAACCTGGAGATGAGGAACTTGGTGAGACCGACGAGGTCGTTGTTAGAGGCGAGGGGAATCGTCTCCCCGTAGACGACCTCCAGGCCGATTCTCAGCCACAGGGGGTTGTAGCTGAAGAATAGCTCGAGGATCTCCTTCTGGAGGCCGATGTCCCGGTGGAGGTCCCGGTCCTGGCGCACCACCAGGTTCCCCTTCTCGATTGTGAGAACTGTCTTGGAGAGGACTGAGCGCACCTCGGGACTGTTGAAGAGGACGAGGGCCGCCTTACGGAGGGTGTTCAGGCGGTGGTTGGTGTGGTACCTTGCCGAGACTGCTTCACGGGTCTCCGCCAGGGGGATGGACTCTTTGGTCCTGCAGGACTGCCAGACCTTCCCCACGTCGACCTTCCCACTGTCCACATCAGCATTGAGATGCTCCGGAGGTGTCAGCAGAGCATTCAGCCACTTCTTGAACTCCACCTCCTGGCTCCACATCCACTTCTCGTCATAATAAAGACTGGAGGCGAGGAATGGATCCTCAGTCATGGTGGCAGCGAAGGGATCAGGATTGAAGACACTCGAGATAATCTCCTCCGGATTATGGAGCCTGACACTCTGCTCCTTGGCCCTGGCCTCTCTGGGCTTGTGGAGCTTCGAGAGAGACAGCTTGGCCACCCTGACCCCAGGAATAGTCTTCTGCCTCCCCAAGGCCATCCTCGTCCTCTTCAGAATCATCTGGTTCTCCTTGGCCCTGTCTTTCATGATCTTGGAGGGTTTTCTGGGGGAGATCCTGTGGTAGTTCGTCCCCCTGACTGCCCTGGCCCCTCCAGGAGCCCCCGAGGACCTCTTCACCGGTGAAATCTCGAAGACAGTGGGCTTCAAAGGCGACGAAAACGTCTTCGTCAGGTTCAAATTGAAATTAATGTGAGGATGACTCGACTGACGTCTGAAGGACGACTCCTCGGTGATGCTCTCCAGGGAGATGGACTTCTGGTGGCGCAGGGGAGTCTTCGGCTCGTCCTTCAGCCAGAGGTCAGCCTCGATCACCTGCTGAACTGTCGACGAGTCTGTGGTTCTGATCGAGGGCAGGGGCGACGACGAGACTGGGGGAAGGGACTGCTCCGATGATGATTCGTTCAGTGGGACTGGGGAGAGACGTCCGAAGGACTTTGCCAGCTTCGTGGGACGCAGGAAGTGCTCTGAGTCTGATTGTTGATGATGGAGATGATGATTTTGGTGAGGGAAATGGGAGGGGTTCTGGGAAAAGTGATGGAGAGAGGTGAAATCCTCGACTGATGAGTGTCTTGGGGGGTTGAAGGGGTGATCGTGGAGGTCTGCAGGGGCTCCAGGGGGACAGCTCTGGGGGAAGTCTTCCTGGGAGGCTCTGGAAATCCTCGAGGATGTGGACATTCCAGAGAAATCGTGGAGCCCATCAGGTTCTGACTGATGTTGATGACTTTTTTGATGATTTCCAGGGGCTCCAGGGGCGTAAATTGGGTGTAAAAAGCCTCCAGGGTCTTTTGAAGTCCTTGAGGAGCTTGAAACCCCTGACAAATTGTGGACTCCATCGGTCTCTGATTGTCGATGATCGTTCCTCATGTGGCTCTGATGATGTCCAGCCCCTCCAGAGCCATAATCTGGGGCTGAGAAGGCCTCAGTGCCTCTGAAATCTCTCGAACAAGTGGAAATCCCTGAAAAATTGTGGAAATCCTCACCTTCTGATTGTCGTTGCTCACTCCTCTGGGGATTCTGAGCACCTCCAGTCCCTCCAGTATGACAACTCACACTGAAACCCTCATTATGTCCTCTCAGAAACCTCAGGGAAGTCGAAACCCCAGAGAAATCCTGGAACTCATCGCTCCCTGATTGTCCCTGACGATTTATCTGGACCTTGCGATCAACTCCAGGTGTCTCGACGCAGAACTCCAGCTTCCCCAGGTGTCTCTGGGCCTCCCCCCTGGACGCAGAGACCTCAAACGTGTGATTGGAGAAGGTTATCTCCTCCCTGATGGTCCTGGTGACAGTCAGCCCTCGATTCTCACGTGGACAGTTCGATTTCTGAGGGGTTGTGAAGCTCGCCAGATCGTCAATGAGGGCTGAGAAGTTCCCTGGATTCTTCTGGTCATCATTTTCATCAGGTTTTGGCGACAACGAGTCGTCAAAGTCCTCCTCTTGCTTCAGGGGCTGCAGAGGGGGGAGTTTGCAGAACTTTGGGTCTGGGTTCAGGTAAGTCTCTCGACGAAGGTGCAGCGACTCCTGGTGACTCCCTGGGGAGATGATTTTTGGGTCTCTCGGGGAGAAGTCCAAGTCCTGGAGATGATCTTCATGTCTCCTCGAGAGTTTCTCCGACTCCTGGGGGAGGGGGTTCCTCAGGGGAGTCAACTGGAAACTGCTAGTGTTGAAACCCCCAGGGACTTCATGATTTTGACGACTTGGGCAGAAATTTTGATTATTCTGGGGGTAATTTTCAGGGTTTAGATGGAAATTCTGGGGATTCGTCAGGGTTGAAGACTTGAAGAGGGAGTTGTCTCCAGTTGCTAAGGCAGTTGATGACTCGAAGACCTTCGAAGGTGGGTTGAAGGGGACTTGTTGCCTTCTGGTGAAGGTCTCCGTGCTCTCAGGCAGGGGCAGCGACTCCTGGCGATCACCTGGGGAGAAGTCAAAGTCCTGGAGATGATCTTCATGTCTCCTCGAGAGTTTCTCCGACTCCTGGGGGAGGGGGTTCCTCAGGGGAGTCAACTGGAAACTGCTGGTGTTGAAACCCTCAGGGACTTCATGATTTTGACGACTTGGGCAGAAATTTTGATTATTCTGGGGGTAATTTTCAGGGTTTCGATGGAAATTCTGGGGATTTGTCTGGGTTGAAGACTTGAAGAGGGAGTTGTCTCCAGTTGCTGAGGCAGTTGATGACTGGAAGACCTTCGAAGGTGCGTTGAAGGAGACTTGTTGCCTTCTGGTGATGTTCTCCTTGTTCTCAGGGAGTTTCTGCTGCTGCTTTCGATGGGGGAGGGGGTGAGAAGGGGGTGGGTGGGGTTTTGGGGGGTTGTTGTCGTTGGAGGGGGCGAGGATCTTGTGGGGTTGGGGTCGAGGGGCCTTGGAGGGGTGGGACTTCTTGGGGGCGAGGCAGGTTGTGGTCAGGGGGATCTCGTACTTGAGGCGACGACTGTCCGTGAGCTGGAGGGTGTCTCGCCAGGAGCCCGGCTCCAGGGGCGTCCAGGAGAGCCAGAGGGTCGCGGAGGACTCGGGGGGGAGCGAGAGCTCCGTTGTGCTGAGGTGTATACGGCGGTCCTCTGGGGGCGGCCTCGTGACCTTCACCTGGGGGAGAAAATGGGATTGAATGAAATTGGGGGATTTTTAGTTTTATTTCGACATTAATCTTCGATTTACCCGGGAAGGAGTGGGTTTAGGAGAAAATGTGAGAAGATGATTTTTGTGGGGAATTTCATTAGCTACGAAAAAGGTTCTGGGCCATTTTGTCCTAAATGTTGGGAATTGCAACGATGTCAAAAAAATCAATAAAAAAAATCAAGGACGAAATTCCTCCTTTTGTCAATAAAAAAACTGTTTTTAAGGCTCGGGTGTACTATCTTTCGAATGTTATCTGGATTTTTTTCATCTTTTGTAATCCAAAATTGTCAATTGAGTGGTACATCATGTAGAAATTGCCAAAAATTATGATAGAATGATAAAAAAGAATAGAAAAAATTCAGAACTTTTTCAAGGAGCGTTTTTAATTGAGATTCAGAATGAGTTGAGAAAAGTGGAAATTACAAATATCTGATTCGCTGTGGCAAATTATCTATTAGCTGTCATTTTCCATGGTGGATAACAAAACACTAACTCCTCATGGGAAGTGACAGCTAGGTATCTCAATTTTCAAAACAGTGGTATGTAGTCATCTGCCATTTTTATGTGATAAAAGTGTGATTAAAAAATTCTCCAAAATATTACAACTNTGATGCTCTCCAGGGAGATGGACTTCTGGTGGCGCAGGGGAGTCTTCGGCTCGTCCTTCAGCCAGAGGTCAGCCTCGATCACCTGCTGAACTGTCGACGAGTCTGTGGTTCTGATCGAGGGCAGGGGCGACGACGAGACTGGGGGAAGGGACTGCTCCGATGATGATTCGTTCAGTGGGACTGGGGAGAGACGTCCGAAGGACTTTGCCAGCTTCGTGGGACGCAGGAAGTGCTCTGAGTCTGATTGTTGATGATGGAGATGATGATTTTGGTGAGGGAAATGGGAGGGGTTCTGGGAAAAGTGATGGAGAGAGGTGAAATCCTCGACTGATGAGTGTCTTGGGGGGTTGAAGGGGTGATCGTGGAGGTCTGCAGGGGCTCCAGGGGGACAGCTCTGGGGGAAGTCTTCCTGGGAGGCTCTGGAAATCCTCGAGGATGTGGACATTCCAGAGAAATCGTGGAGCCCATCAGGTTCTGACTGATGTTGATGACTTTTTTGATGATTTCCAGGGGCTCCAGGGGCGTAAATTGGGTGTAAAAAGCCTCCAGGGTCTTTTGAAGTCCTTGAGGAGCTTGAAACCCCTGACAAATTGTGGACTCCATCGGTCTCTGATTGTCGATGATCGTTCCTCATGTGGCTCTGATGATGTCCAGCCCCTCCAGAGCCATAATCTGGGGCTGAGAAGGCCTCAGTGCCTCTGAAATCTCTCGAACAAGTGGAAATCCCTGAAAAATTGTGGAAATCCTCACCTTCTGATTGTCGTTGCTCACTCCTCTGGGGATTCTGAGCACCTCCAGTCCCTCCAGTATGACAACTCACACTGAAACCCTCATTATGTCCTCTCAGAAACCTCAGGGAAGTCGAAACCCCAGAGAAATCCTGGAACTCATCGCTCCCTGATTGTCCCTGACGATTTATCTGGACCTTGCGATCAACTCCAGGTGTCTCGACGCAGAACTCCAGCTTCCCCAGGTGTCTCTGGGCCTCCCCCCTGGACGCAGAGACCTCAAACGTGTGATTGGAGAAGGTTATCTCCTCCCTGATGGTCCTGGTGACAGTCAGCCCTCGATTCTCACGTGGACAGTTCGATTTCTGAGGGGTTGTGAAGCTCGCCAGATCGTCAATGAGGGCTGAGAAGTTCCCTGGATTCTTCTGGTCATCATTTTCATCAGGTTTTGGCGACAACGAGTCGTCAAAGTCCTCCTCTTGCTTCAGGGGCTGCAGAGGGGGGAGTTTGCAGAACTTTGGGTCTGGGTTCAGGTAAGTCTCTCGACGAAGGTGCAGCGACTCCTGGTGACTCCCTGGGGAGATGATTTTTGGGTCTCTCGGGGAGAAGTCCAAGTCCTGGAGATGATCTTCATGTCTCCTCGAGAGTTTCTCCGACTCCTGGGGGAGGGGGTTCCTCAGGGGAGTCAACTGGAAACTGCTGGTGTTGAAACCCCCAGGGACTTCATGATTTTGACGACTTGGGCAGAAATTTTGATTATTCTGGGGGTAATTTTCAGGGTTTCGATGGAAATTCTGGGGATTTGTCAGGGTTGAAGACTTGAAGAGGGAGTTGTCTCCAGTTGCTGAGGCAGTTGATGACTGGAAGACCTTCGAAGGTGCGTTGAAGGAGACTTGTTGCCTTCTGGTGATGTTCTCCTTGTTGTCAGGGAGTTTCTGCTGCTGCTTTCGATGGGAGAGGGGGTGAGAAGGGGGTGGGTGGGGTTTTGGGGGGTTGTTGTCGTTGGAGGGGGCGAGGATCTTGTGGGGTTGGGGTCGAGGGGCCTTGGAGGGGTGGGACTTCTTGGGGGCGAGGCAGGTTGTGGTCAGGGGGATCTCGTACTTGAGGCGACGACTGTCCGTGAGCTGGAGGGTGTCTCGCCAGGAGCCCGGCTCCAGGGGCGTCCAGGAGAGCCAGAGGGTCGCGGAGGACTCGGGGGGGAGCGAGAGCTCCGTTGTGCTGAGGTGTATACGGCGGTCCTCTGGGGGCGGCCTCGTGACCTTCACCTGGGGGAGAAAATGGGATTGAATGAAATTGGGGGATTTTTAGTTTTATTTCGACATTAATCTTCGATTTACCCGGGAAGGAGTGGGTTTAGGAGAAAATGTGAGAAGATGATTTTTGTGGGGAATTTCATTAGCTACGAAAAAGGTTCTGGGCCATTTTGTCCTAAATGTTGGGAATTGCAACGATGTCAAAAAAATCAATAAAAAAAATCAAGGACGAAATTCCTCCTTTTGTCAATAAAAAAACTGTTTTTAAGGCTCGGGTGTACTATCTTTCGAATGTTATCTGGATTTTTTTCATCTTTTGTAATCCAAAATTGTCAATTGAGTGGTACATCATGTAGAAATTGCCAAAAATTATGATAGAATGATAAAAAAGAATAGAAAAAATTCAGAACTTTTTCAAGGAGCGTTTTTAATTGAGATTCAGAATGAGTTGAGAAAAGTGGAAATTACAAATATCTGATTCGCTGTGGCAAATTATCTATTAGCTGTCATTTTCCATGGTGGATAACAAAACACTAACTCCTCATGGGAAGTGACAGCTAGGTATCTCAATTTTCAAAACAGTGGTATGTAGTCATCTGCCATTTTTATGTGATAAAAGTGTGATTAAAAAATTCTCCAAAATATTACAACTTTTTTCAAAGAGCCTTGTCCGTAATAAATGTCTCTGTGCAGTGTGGGAGAAGATTTACGAAATCAGTCTTCCCCCTGCATGATATTGGGTGACAGGCCACCATTTGTCACCGTAAATCAGATACATTTTTCAATTTCTAGTTATTCAACTTATTCTGAATATAAATTAAAAATGCTCTTTGAAAAAATTAAGAATTTTTTCTACTTTTTTTTGATTATTCATTCATAATTTTTCAAAACTTCTGCATGATGCAGGACTTAATTGACAATTTCAGATGACGAAAGATAAAAAAAAACATCGAGATAACGTTCGAAAGATAGTACACCCGGGCCTTAATTGAAAAACTATAACAATTTTCCTTATTCGATAATTTCGATGACCAAAAAATCATTTTAAGAACGAAGTTTTTCTCTTATCATCAAAAAAACGAACAAAAAAAATATTTTCAATGAAAAAAAAAATTCTCAAGACAATTACTTTCACCCAACCACTCCAACGCCTTTATATTAATATTTTGAAGGAATTTTCAACTATTTACTCACGTTTAGGGACCGGTTGCTTGTGTTTTTGACGACCAAACTCGTTTGAGCCTGCACATTCACAGATGACTCAATGCTGAGATGAGGTTGGGGTTGAAAAGGCGCCAGAACGAGCACCGCCTGGACCTCGGGGGCCTTCTCCTGGGCCCCGGCTGACTTCTGGGCCTTGGGGGTTACATTGATCTTCAAAAAAAAAACCAACAAACCCATTAGTGACCCTTCCACCTAATCCTCAGAGGCAAAAAGCGAGGGAAAGCAGTTATTTACCTGGAAATACATTTCGGATTTTTCCAATTTCTCCTCCGATCAACTCATTAACACTCTGAACTGTTGCTCAGGGAATTCCGCATCTTGAGGAATGAAACAACGAACAGGATGAGGATTTCACTCGTCGAGAGGACCAACGGTTGGCCCCAACCGTTTTACTCTCCCAACAAATTCAAACTCAACTGTTTTTACATTTTTGCGTTCGCAAAATCATCAGTTCTTCAGGCGTTCCTAAAATTCCCCAGAAGTTACTAGATTATCCCTAGGCTGGAGTGCCCCCTAGCGTTTCTCGTAGACCAATGGGAGAAGTTGCGGGAAATTTTGATTTTTTAAATCATGCGTTCTTGTTTTTTGATAAAAACTTAGTGAGAATTGTTTTTATTTCTTAATTTTGTTTTCAATTTTCCCCGGACGAATTTGAGAATGTTTCGAGGGTATTCGTACAGATACGTATTTATGTTGGAGTCGATCCCCGAGATGATTCCCTTAATCTTCGGAACAGAAATCAAAGCAAGGGTTGAAGAAAAATACGTGGAAATAATCCGCAATCGTAAGATCGAAGAGAGGGGACTGAAAGATTTTTTTATGCTTCACCTGGCGGGATGAAACCTTCTGGTCGCATTCTTCACAGGTCCAGGGTGTCGTCTAGCTCAGAGGATCATCAGGGAGCATGAGACCATAGCAGTTCATGTTTGCACACCGCATTGCTCCAACATTGCTTCCATATTCCTGAATTGAAAAATGAAGAATCAATTCAGGATGATTTTTTGATGAATATCTCTGGATCTAAGGGAGATATCGAGATTTTGATAATGACGTTTTTTGTAGATCTCCCTCAGCCCTACAAAAAAGGTCCTCACGAAAATTCCGCCATCTCCCATAGATTCGAAGACATTCATCAAAAACTGTCGTGAAAAAATGAATCAATGACTCGCTGGAGCGAACCGGCGAGACAATTAGTTTTTGGAGAATATCTCGGAATTGAAGGGAGATATCGAAATTTTGATGAGGACCTTGTTTGGTGAGGAGCTAGGTTTAGGGTGGTTGTGGGGGTGTGATTAGGGGTGAGGCCGGAAAATGAATTCTAATACTGTTTCATAAAATCACGGTTTAATTGTGGGATCGAACCACGTCGTAAAATACTATATACACTTTATACACTTGTCACTCAAATTTAGTTCGTTGAGATCTCAAAGAATAGATATTGTCTAAATTGATAATTCATTGTTGAGTCACTATTAAATGTCCTTGATAAATGTCTATCGATAATTGCTGTAACGATTGAATCTAACTCAAATGGTGAGGAGCTGTACACGTTGAGAGACGCGTCGACACCCGCCTTCCGTTGATCCTACTCTAATGTTTCGATAATTCACTGCTGATGTACTTAACTCGTTGAGAAACTATAATACTTGTTAATTCACTAAATCTACGTTGATTTGACTCTAATTTTGATATTCTATAACATTTCTACTGAGTGGATGGACTGAACTAATAACTGAGTTGATAATCTATTACATGGCTGTTGAACTGCCGAGCGATTACTCTAACTGACGGACTTTGTCGTACTACTACCTTTCCGGGTGATTCGCTGACTCTTGACTGTTGACCCGAAGGGTCCCGATTGATTTCGAAGATTACCGACTTAATTCCCCGCTGAACTGATAGAATGATGACTATGTTTCAAGCAGACCTTTTATGTAGATCTCACTCAGCTCCACAACAGAGGTTTTCACAAAAATTTCAGTATCTCTCTTGGATTCTGAGATATTTAACAAAAACTGATCTGTTCTAAAGTGAAATTGACTTTTCCTGTTCCAGCAATTCACTGATTGGGGAATATCTTTGGGGATCTACAAAAACTGTCTTCTAACACTTTCCCCTGAAGTTCACGGTGAAATTATTCCTGAAATAATTTTTCATCGATCACAAAAAATTATAAAATCAACAATAAAATAATTACTGAATCTGCTTTATTATCAAGATATCCACGAATAAAAAAATAATTAAGCCACAACATAACTCCATCCATCAACATGTTATACAAACATTCAACCTGGCAAAACAAAAAATTATTAAATTCTCTTTACAAACGTAATAATCATCATTATTCATACAAAAGAGAGTTAAACCTTTCCACTGAATGACGGTTTATGTATAAAATATATACGTCTGTTAATGTACTGTACATAATCTACAATGTCAGTGTTAATCCTAATATCATTAGTTGTACGATAATTCGCTAATTTTAGTTTTACTGATTCATCCTCGATTAGCTAATCTATATATGCACATGAGTTTTATGTACAAGACGTGTTCTCTGCTGCGAGAATCATCCCAAGTGTTTAAAAAAAAAAATTCAAGGCCATTTTTTGAAATTAATCACATTTGTTGTTTTTTAAATCCTGCGGAGTGAGATTTTATGTTTTTTACACTTTTTTTTTTGAAAATGGAGAAAAAGTCACCAATTGTATTTTTAATGAAAATTTTCAAGGCCATTTTTTTAATTAATCACATTTGTTGTTTTTTTAATCCTGTGGAGAAGTGAAATTTGATGTTTTTTACACTTTTTTTTTTTGAAAATGGAAAAAAAGTCACCAATTGTATTTTTAATTCAAATTTTCAAGGCCATTTTTTACATTAATCACATTTGTAGTTTTTTAAATCCTGTGGAGAACTGAAATTTGATGTTTTTTACACTTTTTTTTTTTTTGAAAATGGAGAAAAAGTCACCAATTGTATTTTTAATGAAAATTTTCAAGGCCATTTTTTTAATTAATCACATTTGTTGTTTTTTAAATCCTGCGGAGGAGTGAGATTTCATATTTTTTACACTTTTTTTTTTGAAAATGGAGAAGTCATCAATTAAATTTTTAATGATTGTTAATGACGTGAAGAGCTCTTCAGTTTTATTTTTATAATGAATTTTTCCTCCTCTACGTGACTAGAAAAAAAAATGCATCAATATTCACTGATTTATGACGATTTCTCCCACAATTGAGCGTTTTTTCCTAAAAATTGAGTTTTGGAAGTGAAATATCAACGTTTTTTATTCTGAATGAGTATAAATTGACCTAGTACTTCTCATAATTAATTAACAATTACAAAATTTGAGGATCTCCGCATAGAATTCATTTTTTCGACTTCGAAAAAAATGAAATTTGGAGAATTGAGTTTGCAAGAACTCATCACGTTAAAAAAAATTAGCGGAAAAATCTCGTGAATTTTTGACGAAATTTTATTGGATTTCTATCAGTTGTTGGTGGATTCTATTAACGAATTTCTGCGCTTTTTGCAATTGTCTCTGAAAATATCCAATGGAAAATATTCTATATTCGATTTTTCTAAGTTTAGTTGTTTAATTTTTTTTAATGAAAAGAGAATAAAAATAGAGTGGAAAAAACTTGGAATTCGACTGATTTTTCCTGTAAAATGGTTACTATTGCAAATTTTTTATTGAAATACCGCGCAGTAGTGCTGTGGAATTCTTCAATAGAATCGGCCAAAAACTACTAGAATTTTCAATAGAATTCCTATTGAATGCGCTAGAAAATTCCATTCGATTCCTATTGAATCTCAATATTTGACAATTCTAATAAAATATTCTATAGACAAAATCAATAGAATTCGATTTTTCTCCCCCACTTATTCTATTAAGAAATCTTTAATACCAATTCCTCAACTTAACTTTTCCGATTTTTTGTTTAATTTTTTTAATGAAAAGAGAATAAAAATAGAGTGGAAAAAACATGAAATTCTACTGATTTTTCCTATAAAATAATTACTATTGCAAACTTTCTATTGAAATAACGCGCAGTAGAGCTGTGGAATTCTCGAATAGAATCCAATAGAATACCTATTGAATTCGCTAGAAAATTCTATTCGATTTCTATTGAATCTTAATATTAAAAAATTCCAGTTTATCTGCGTAATATTCAACGGAAAACATTGTATAGAAAAAATCAATAGAATTTGATTTTTCTCTCCCACATATTCTATTAAGATATCTTCAATACCAATTCCTCAACTCAACTTTCCCATTTTTTTTGCTTAATATTTTTTAATGAAAAAATAATACCAATGAAGTGGAGAAAAAATGAAAAAATCATGTCGAGAAATTTCTACGGGGAAAGTTGTATAGAGTAGTTAAATTCTACTAATTTGTTCCATAAAATAGGTCCTGCCGGACATGTTTTATTAAAAAAAAAAAAATAGTAGAGCTCCAGAATTCTTCAACAGATTCAGTCCAAAATTAATAGAATCTTCTATCGAATTCACTGGGCTTGTCTGTCCTTTTATTTTCCACGCGCGATGACTCGAATTATTCTTAGAACCGTTCTGACATGACGGAGAAGTCATCATTTCCTGTCTTTACTGAGGTCAGACGGCATGTCTGAGTTGGCACTAGTTCCTATCGAGCATTGAGTCGTCAGACCCTTTGATACTGGTAAAGACAGGCCAGCGGCACTCATGGCGACGTTGAGGGGAATCGTGATGAAGGGCTGGGTTGACTGTCCTGGAGTAAGATTAGTCGAATCTGCAAAAAAAATTACAAAAATTTTAAATAAACAATAAAAAAATAATGAAGAAATTTAATGGCGATTTTTTTCTTTAAAGTTGTAAATCGATGGGATTATCATTGTTTTTTTTAGTTGACAATTTATGTCAACTCTTGTTTGATGAACAAACGATGGATTTCGCAAAGAATTACTCCTATTACTTGAATTTATTTTGATTTTTCAATTTCGTAATTTTTATTGACTATTCGACTTATTTGTTTTTGTTTTTGTCATATTTTTCATGACTGAATTCATTGATCGGGGTTTCATTGACTGGATTTTTTTGCTTCCGAATGGGAGCCTTGTATTCGGCAAATCCGAAATTTCCAATTTTTTGTGTCAGGATAACTAGTTTTGGCCTTAGGAGTGTGAATATGGTATTTTTAGACCATGTCCAGGTGTTTGTGTATGTGTTTGTGTGACGATAACTGAAAAAGAAATTATTTGAATGAATCCAACTGTGATTTAAAATATTCTTCCCAATGCCATCTTGACCGAGTTCAATTGTGAGATAAATTGATTGCATCATCTGTTGTTGAAAAAATGTAGAAATCCGCATGAAAACGGACCACTCTGTCGATTCTACACGGAGAGAAATTTTCTAGAAAAATTCTAGTACGAGTACTGAAAAAAATCATAATCCACCGGCTGTGAAAAATTCTAGTGCCGTTAGGGTAAAATTTCTTGGTATTTCTGATAAAATTTCTGGGGATTTCTGTGAAATTTTCAAAGAAATACGGGGAAAAATTCACGTTTTCCCCAATACAATTTCTAGTGCCGGCACTGGAATTTTTTCCTAACCGTCACGTTGCGCCTCTTTTTCCGTGCTAACACTAGCATTTTTAGAAAAAAATTTGTTCCGTGCAGTTTCCGAGATTTCGAGTTTTCGAAATTTCGAGTTTCCGTGGTCAGGGCAATGTTGGCCGCCAACGTTGAGCCAATGTTGAGCCAATGTTGAGCCAATGTTGGGCCAATGTTGGATGGCATCCAACATTGGCCCAATATTGAATGCCAACGTTGGACCAATGTTGTATGCCGACGTTGGGCCAATGTTGGCTGCCAACGTTAAGCCGATGTTGGCTGCCAACGTTGGGCCAACATTGGCTGCCAACGTTGGACCAATGTTGCGTGCCAACGTTGGCCCAATGTTGGCTGCCAACGTTGAGCCAATATTGACTGCCAACGTTGGGACAATGCTGGCGCACAATTTTCAGTATTAAGTAGAGCCAGAGCGAGAATAATCACGAGGTCTCGAAAATTATATCATCTCTTATTTTTACTCTTATTTATCGCGTCTGTTTTTTCAACATAACATTCTAATCAACATATAAGGTATTCCATGTGAACTCACCCAGGTCAAAACCCTCACCATCGCCAATCCTATTGACGATTTTTCCTGTGGTTGTATATGGAAAAATATGACTTCTCAAATTTTTTAAAATTTTTTGAGGCATCCTGTGGGCAGCCATGTTTTTTTGCAAGTTTTCTTGCATATAAGAGAATTTTCTTATATAGAAGAAAATTTTCTATATAAGAAAGTGTGTTCGAAGACGCACATTTTGGAAAAAAAACTCAAATCGGTTTATTTTTACGGAAGTTACAGGCATTTGAAGATAAAACTTGCAAAAAAACATGGCTGCCCACAGGATGCCTCAAAAAATTTTAAAAAATTTGAGAAGTCATATTTTTCCATATACAACCACAGGAAAAATCGTCAATAGGATTGGCGATGGTGAGGGTTTTGACCTGGGTGAGTTCACATGGAATACCTTATATGTTGATTAGAATGTTATGTTGANTCAAATGCATCGGGTAACAGTATAACAATGAGCTTCAACTTAAGACTGGTTAGTACAGCTTCAAACCGGAGGCTATAACATGTATTTCACATAAAGTTTGCGATTTTTTGTGGCGTTTAAGAAAAAAAAACAGAATCCGTTGAGTAAGGAAAAATTTAAGAATGAAAGAGAAAAAAACCCTATTTCATGAGGAGAATCGAGGGGTCAAGTCCCCGGGTATTTTTTTTAAATTGTGTGGAAATTATGATCGATGTCCCCATTTTCTATGAAAACGCACCAAAATGACCCCATAAGTATCAAACGGAAGCGGAAATATCCCCGACTACCAAACGAGCCCGAAAAATCCCGCGGCCCATGTAGGCGCAAAACACCCGTCACAATTTTCCATTTTTGACTGGAGGAGAGCAACGCGAACAACCGTTCGGAAAATAGACCACGCCTCGTTACTTCCCTCACAAGGTGAAAAAGAAATTCCGAGGGGGAAAAAAATGTTCGCACCCGCCCAAGCTAAAACAATGGGATTTAATAATGAGTGTTAACTTCGATGGAATAATAATTTCAATGCAATTTTACAATAAATATATGGACTTCCGGTACGTGCGTACACGTAGCCGTTTAAGGCTGGAATATATGTTACTCACTTCCGTCTTGGGATATTTGTACTGGTTGGCCGTTTTGTCCGATACTCAGGAGTACACCAGGGGTATGAGAGTACATGACATTCTGGGGCATCTGGTACATGATTCCTAAAAAAAATATAAAAAAATTGGACTTCATCATTGAAACGACGGGGAGGGTTCAAGACACTATGCGATTTTAGCCCTGAATGGCCATTCACCTGACCGGTATCAAAGAATAATGATATAAACATTTCGAAGAAAGACGAAATACCTCGGAGTTACCCTTGACAAAAAACTCTTGTGTATCACACACATTAACATCGCGAATGAAAAAGCAAAAGCCATCGCGGCTAGACTCTACTACCTATTTAAAAACAAATCCCTGTCGACACAAGCTAAACTCAAATTGTATAAGGCATCAGTCAGGACGGTAATTACCTGTGGTTGCCCCGTCTGGCATAATGCAGCCCCCACCCATATCGCCAAATTCCAAGTTACTCTAAACAAATATCTCCGTGTTATTAATAATGCCTACTATGGCAGCCCTATCTCCTCCCTCCACATTAGATCCAACACAGAAATGATCCATTACTTCATAAATCGCATTGCAGACAATTTCGAAGTGAATCTTAAAAATCATTCAAGTTCATTAATAAATAACATCAAGCCTCGCTAAATTTCAAGATGGTCAACTGGCCGTAGTTGCTGTGTCACCGAAATACTCAAGATATAGGATTTTTCACTGTTCGATTTTTCCTACTATTAGCATACATTCTATTTTGTAATTCAACCCTCTTAATGAAATTTAAAAGAGACGAGGCTCTGAACATTACACTGAACATTCAGCGAGAGTTTAACCAAATGGTTGAGTATTCTTTCGGTAATAAAAAAATAAAATTCATTTACACAACTGTTTACTCTCCTGAAACAATGCAATAATGACAGAACTGTGAATCTTTAATTGACACTAGTATTGAACACATCAACTTAATTTTAAATAAAAAGCGATTTCCCTCTGAAACTTCATGACGTTCCTCCCACCAATTCAATCAAATTCGAAATTTAAAATTGTCCAACACTAATAGATCACTCATCCCAACAACTTCCCCTCCCCTCCCAAAAACACCCCCCTCTCGCTCAAGACCCCCTCAAAAAACAAAACGGAAAGTAACAAAAGTATTCCGATTAATTAGTTTGAGACACGAGTCGTACACCAAGCAAAAAAAAAATCCTCTTAATATTCCTCTCACTCCCCGTCAGAAAAACTGAGCCCCCCCCCCCCCCCCCCC